AGTTACTCAAGGTACTTACAATTAATATGATCTCTATAATATTTACCTTCTTTTTGTTAATATATGTTTCAGTGATCCTTCTTATCACTGGAATTTTAAATAAGGTTGCAGTTGTGACTATACAGAGCATGATCAGACATTCAAAAGCCAGGCATCAAGAAAATAATTCAAATGAATTAATTAGGTGTACTCATTTGGTTTTCTTTAATCTTTATAAGACTCCTGATACATAACCCCACCTAACAAGTTATTTCCCCCACATACAATCCAGGTTTTATTTTGTATCTACCTTCTAAGAAAGGCCTAGAATGGGATGCCAATCAATTTCTAGGAATTGTGCTGAGGCTGTTTTATGGCTATGGGTGTCAATTATAAATGGCTGAATATAATCTGTCCAGCTGAAATTAATTCCACATACTAGCTGTACAGTTGGATGTATTGTTTGATGCAAAATTCTGCCTTTGACTGTAGGAATTCCATATGCCATCCCCAAAGTCTATCAATTCTTTAGAAGTGGCATTGGATAGCATGGGGCTGGATAACAAGTCGATCTATTAAAATCTGCACCACAGAATGCCTTTGCCTCTTATTCATTTGTTATGGATCTCACTATCAACACTTTAAGCAACAAGCAGAATCTAAAGTTTTGGAATATTTTTTCAACATTTACCAAAGCCTCATTTATGACAGATGATCCAATGTCAGCCATCAGTTTCTCTGGCCTCTCCAGGCACTGCCACTGAATTTAGTTTAGTCAGCAAAAGGCTACATATGTAGACCTGCCCTTTAAACACTGAATTCCTCCAAAGTCCATACTGCCCTTCTCTTTTCTCATTCCACACCTAATCCTGAAGCATTTTTGTCCAGTCCTGAGGTTTACCATAATGTGTTTGCTAGATTGAACTAACTCTAACTACATGTTCCACAGATGCCTCACTGTCTAGTGCTAAACATTTTTTCTTCTTTCACTTAAATCAGTTTTATTTTGAATTCCTGATCATGATTAATGGCAATATTTTTCACTTGCAAGCCTGAAATTTGGCATCATTCTAACATTTGTTGAACCACATTTTAAAAATTCATTCCTTCTTCTGTATTTTCTTGTTCCTTTCATAGTATAAGTCTCTATTACTGTCCATAAGAGACTGCTGCAGCTTATCACATGTCTCTCAGCTTAAGGAAGCCCCCACACAAAATGGCATTACTAAAAGGCATATAAAATCATATATGATTCCTCTATGTATTACCATCAAATGACTCCCTACTGTTCACAGGGTAAAGTTTCAACTCCTTTGATACAAGGTCATCCATGGGGATAACCCCAGCCTGCCTCCCTAACTTCACCTTCCACTGCTTCCCTAAATATACAGCCATGTCACCTTACATGTTTCTTTGTGCTGTATCTGTTATCAATGTACAAATGTACTTATTAGACATTATTGCTATTGTGTCATTGCACAGTCTCTTCATTCAACTATGAGGTTATTAGAAGACAAGTATGGCACGTGATTCACTTTTGTCTCTCTCACATAGAATCTTACACATAACAGGCACTCTATAAATGTCTATTTAGTGAACAAGTGGCCTTCTCAAAAGTCGATGTATTGTTCATATCTCATTCATTGAACAGAGCCAATATATTTCTTGAAGGTAGACGTGATATTAAAATAACTTTATATTGCTATGCATGGACTTACCTAGGAATTTTATTTACCTAATTCAGTCACCAGGTGGTAAATCCTATATAAGACTAGCTGCAGATATTCATTTTTGCACCTGGCATGATAATGAGTGTTAAAGATTTAGTGCCTCCAAAAAAGGCATCGCTGATTTACAGTGACCAACAGTAATACCATGTTAATATGATTTTTAAAGCCATTATACATTTATATTTTAGTGATACCTTTCAGAGATTCTGATGTAACTTCTATCTTTTGACTTCTAGCTATACAAACATATGCCAAATGTACTATGCATTCAGAACAAAGTCAAAGATTAAGTAGCAATAATTCAAGATAATTTGTGTTTTAATGATTTCAAACATTTGTCTTCTGGTCAAAATGAGCTTAATCACTTTGCCAAAGGTTATTTCATTCCTGTTTGAGTATCCCTGCAACATGTGCAGGCACACACAAGGGTGTGAAGCACACTTATCTACAGCCAGATGATTTTCAGCATAGTGAGACAACTAGGAAGGAACGGGGTTCCAGATATGGATCTATCCTGACACGATAACTAGGCTTGTTTTAGGGATATAGACTTATTAATTTCAAGCTCCAGGGAATTACAGTCTTGTAGATAGAAAATGGTATTTGAATAAGATGGTATGGTCAACTAATCTTCGACAAAGCAGGAAAGAATGTCCAACAGAAAAAAGACAGTCTCTTCAACAAATGGTGTTGGGAAAATTGGACAGCCCATTTCCTTACACCACGCACAAAAATAGACTCAAAATGGATGAAAGACCTAAATGTGAGACAGGAATCCATCAAAATCCTTAAGGAGAATACAGGCAGCAACCTCTTGGAGCTCAGCCGCAGCAACTTCTTCCTAGAAACATCGCCAAAGGCAAGGGAAGCAAGGACAAAAATGAACTCTTGGGACTTCATCAAGATAAAAAGCTTTTGCACAGCAAAAGAAACAGTCAACAAAACCAAAAGACAACCAATAGAATGGGAGAAGATATTTGCAAATGACATATCAGATAAAGGGCTAGTATCCAAAATCTATAAAGAACTTATCAAACTCAACACCCAAAGAACAAATAATCCAATCAAGAAATGGGCAGAAGACATGAACAGACATTTCTGCAAAGAAGACATCCAAATGGCCAACAGACACATGAAAAAGTGCTCGACATCGCTCGGCATCAGGGAAATCCACATCAAAACCTCAATGAGATACTACCTCACACCAGTCAGAATGGCTAAAATTAACGAGTAAGGAAACGACAGATGTTGGCGAGGACATGGGGAAAGGGGAACCCTCCTACACTGTTGGTGGGAATGCAAGCTGGTGCAGCCACTCTGGAAAACAGTATGGAGGTTCCTCAAAAAGCTGAAAATAGAGCTACCCTATGACCCAGCAATTGCACTACTAGGTATTTATCCCAAAGATACAAATGTAGTGATCCGAAGGGGTATGTGCACCCCAATGTTTATAGCAGCAATGTCCACAATAGCCAAACTATGGAAAGAGCCTAGATGTCCATCAACAGATGAAAGGATAAAGAAGATGTGATAAACACACACACACACACACACACACACACACACACACACACACACACAATGGAATATTATGCAGCCATCAAAAAATGAAATCTTGCCATTTGCAATGACGTGGATAGAACTAGAGGGTATTATGCTAAGTGAAATAAGTCAATCAGAGAAAGACAATTATCATATGATCTCGCTGATATGAGAAATTTGAGAAACAAGACAGAGGATCATAGGGGAAGAGAGGGAAAAATGAAATAAGATGAAACCAGAGAGGGAGACAAACCATAAGAGACTCTTAATCTCAGGAAACAAACTGAGGGTTTCTGAAGTGGAGGGGGGTGGGAGGGATGGGGTGGCTGGGTGATAGACACTGGGAAGGGTATGTACTATGGTGAGTGCTGTGAATTGTGTAAGGCTGATGAATCACAGACCTGTACCCCTGAAACAAATAACACATTATATGTTAAGAAAAAAAAGAAAAAAAAAGATGGTAGCAAACAACATGCATGAATCTAAAATGGAATTTGTGCTCATAGAAAATCAAAACCTAGTTCTGCAGGTATTTTTAGAGACAGAGTACAGGAATGAGAAACCCAAATGTAGGGAAAACATAAATGGAAGGTATAAGTAGGTAAGAATGGAAAGGCTGGAAAGATAATGGCAGAAGACCATGAAGAAACAGGAAGAAAAGATAATTTAGCTTTTACAGACACTGGAGGCACTGAAATTTCTGGGCAAAAATATGATCTAAGAAATTATATCACATTTTTCAACAAAAATATTCCATTTTAAATTATTCGATAGGTGGTATATTCTGTATATAAACATAAAAATTTAAGCTTATAAATATTTCTCCTCAAAGTAGAAGAGAGTTTCAGTAATGACAAACGAGGTTATGTGGAACAAGCCTCCTGTTGAAAACAACTAAATATGATAAAAATATGATTTTTAGAAAATGTATTTGAAAGCATCAGAGAATTTAACCATGTAGTGAAGAATAATGGAGTCAAGATCTAAGAGAAGAAAGACACACATGGAGGTTAGCCTGGCATTTGGAGTTTGTTTCCTCCTGAAGCTTTGGCTTCAGATAATTTTGATAAAGGAGGCTAAAAGACTGAGACAAAGAAGACCAATGTAGATGAGAGCCCCAAGTATGGGTTCTGGTAAAAACTCTGAGGAATGAGAGGAAATTAGAAATAGACTTGACATTCCAAAGACTAAAGCTAAACTTAGAATCATTTCAATTACTAATTGGAATAAGGTAATAATGCAATTAATAGTGTTTCCAGTACAGCTGCCTGTAGGATGTCAGCATAAATACTCTTTGGAAAAAGATAAAATCATTCCTGTGCCTCAAATCAGACTTCTGTTTTTTTAAAGAAATATTTTCTGATGCTCAAAAAAAAAAAAAAAAAAACAAGACAAAGAAACAAAAGCAGGCATATAAAACTCAAGGCAATGTGACCAAAACCCCAAAGAAATGCTGGACATTAGGAACTCATCTGCAGGGAATACAGATGATGGAGAAAATCAGTCATAGGTGTTAATTTGTGAACTGGGAAACTGATCCAAAGGAAACCACCTAGCTAACATAGGAAGAGGTTAAATATACAGAAAAAAAAAAAAAAAAAAAAAAAAGGAAAAATATCTACAAAAATGTAAAATGGCATCCCATAGGAATATAAAGAAAATGGTAAGGAAGCAATATTTGAAGAAATAATGCGTGAGAATTTTCCGAACTGATAAGCAACATCAAGAAAACCATATGTAGGGAGTCCGGTTGTGGTTCCGTCGTCCCCAGCGCTGAATTGCTGCCGATGGGGCCGAGGTTCTTTGTCTGTGGTAAGCCTTTAAAAAATACAACATAAAAATGGCTTCAAAAAGAGCTCTGGTCATCCTGGCCAAAGGAGCAGAGGAGATGGAGACAGTCATCCCCGTAGATGTCATGAGGCGAGCTGGAATTAAAGTCACCATTGCGGGTCTGGCTGGGAAAGACCCAGTACAGTGTAGCCGAGACGACGTCATTTGTCCTGATGCCCGTCTGGAAGATGCAAAAAAAGAGGGACCTTATGACGTAGTGATTCTGCCGGGAGGCAATCTGGGTGCGCAGAATTTATCTGAGTCTGCTGCTGTGAAGGAGATACTGAAAGAACAAGAAAAAAGGAAGGGCCTCATAGCTGCCATCTGTGCAGGTCCTACGGCTCTTTTGGCTCATGAAATAGGTTTTGGAAGCAAAGTTACAACACACCCACTTGCTAAAGACAAAATGATGAATGGAAGTCATTACAGCTACTCCGAGAACCCTGTGGAGAGGGACGGCTTGATCCTCAGGAGCCGCGGGCCTGGAACCAGCTTTGAGTTCGCTCTTGCGATCGTCGAGGCACTGAACGGCAAGGACGTGGCTGACCAAGTGAAGGCCCCGCTCGTTCTTAAAAATTAGAGCAGACAGCTTTGATCAGAAGTAGAGAAACAGGCCGTTCGTAATCATTCTCACCACGTTCGCTTGAAGCAAAATGCGCGGTTCCGGTGCAGAGTTTCCCCGCCTGTGCCCGGGTCTCCACGGTCCTGAACCTTGATGGCAAAGCAAATGGCATTTAGCAAACTACCAACTGTTACTTTGTTTATCGCTGGTTTCCCCTTGTTGGTATGTGTGAAACCAAATTCATGATCAGCCTCACTTGCATCTGTTAACTGTTGATAGAGCTACTGAGATAGACTAGCAGTGAACACATTTGACACAGCAAGGAGGAAAAGCGTAAAGGCAAAGATTTAAGAAGCTTGTGATTTTCTCCCATTTGAATAATGTGCTGTTAAAAATACCAATGAAGGGGCTCCTGGGTGGCTCAGTCGGTTAAGCACTTGCCCTCGGCTCAGGTCATGATCCCTGGGTCCTGGGATTGAGCCCCGCATCGGGCTCCCTGCTCAGCGGGAAGTGGGCTTCTCCCTCTCCCACTCCCCCGCCTTGTGTTCCCTCTGTCGCTGTCTCTCTGTCAAATAAATAAATAAATAAAATCTTTAAAAAAAATAAAATACCAATAAAAAAGAGAAAACCATATGTGGGTATATCATAATATAACTGCTGAAAGTCAAAGATAAAGAGAAAATCGTTAAGGAAGCCAGAGGGAAATATAGATATATTGTACTGAAAAGAGACATAGGAAGAATTAGTCAACTTCTTGACAGAACAAGGATAGCCAGAAGATGATGGAACAGTATCTGAAAAGTGCGAAAAGAAAACACTTACTATTGATTTGGTAAATACCTAGTGGTGCAATTGCTTGATCATAGGGTGGTTCTATTTTTAACTTTTTGAGGAACCTCCATACTGTTTTCCAGTGGCTACTAGGTATTTACCCAAAGGATACAAAAATACTAATTCAAATGGTATGTGTACCCAATGTTTATAGCAGCATTATCAGTAATAGCCAAATTATGGAAAGAGTTCAAATATCCATCAACTGATCAATGGATAAAGAAGATGTGGTACATATATACAATGGAGTATTACTCAGCCATAAAAAAGAATGAAATCTTACCATTTGCAACAACGTGGATGGAGCTAGAGAGTATAATGCTAAAAGCAAAATAAGTCAGTCAGAATAAGACAAATACCATATGATTTCACTCATATGTGGAATTTAAGAAACAAAACAAATGAACATGGGGGATGGGAAGAGAAGCAAACCAAAAAACAGACTCTTAACTACAGAGAACAAACTGATGGCTACTGGAAGGGAGGTGAGGGGGGCAGGGGAGGGAAGGATGGGTTAAACAGGTGATGGGTATTAAAGAGGGTGCTTGTGATGAACACCAGGTGATGTATGTAAGTGATGAATCACTAAATTTTACATCTGAATTTGGTCTGTCAGACCAAGAGTCAAAGCAAAATTCAGGTATAGTATATGCTGCTTAAGATATGAAACTAAAATATATGGAAACAAAAATGGTGGAAAAGAAAGAAAAAATATATACCATGCAAACCAAAAATAAATTGGGCCTGGCTAAGATACTATAAGCAGACTTTCATACAAAAGTCTAAGACAAGTAAAAAGAGACACTCATGGTATTAATAAATTTAGTTCATTGGGTAGATATAATAATTCTAAGATTTCTGCACATTTTCTCAAAATACAAATCTTAAATACTTAAAGACCTATTATACCCAAGAGAGTATCTCACAATATCTCCTCGAAAACAATACAGAAAAGCACAAAGAAAAAGAAACCACAAAAATCAAACCTTCAGCACAATCTTCTCAAAATTACAAATAACTTTAGGGCATTAAGACAAAAAAGCCAAATTCCAGCAAGCCAGTTCTTCGGCTTCTCCCATGTTGTAAACCTTCCTAGAGAGCAAGGGCAAGCTGAGAAAAACTGCAAGGGAAGAGGAGTGCTGATAAGGCAGAATCATCTTCAGATAGAGTCCATCCTTCCTGATAAAAGAGTAAAACTGTTTCTGGTGAAGAATTGGGACTCAGGGAACAGAATTAGAAAAACATGCAACTTTAAGCGGTGGTTTTCAAAAGGCAATGTTTCTGGGAAGAGAAGGCCAAAAAGAGAGGGAGATGTGGCCTTTGGCAGATTAACAATGAAAAGATAAAAATGCAAGTCAAAAAATTTAGGATCCTACAACACAAAGAGAACCAAAATATAGGACACATAACCCCACCCACAATCTGAAAAAAAAAAATCCACTAAAGAAACCAGATTTAATGTATAGATAGAAAAAGGCATTAGTGGAATTAGAAATTAAAAATCTTGTAAACAACCTCAAATCAACAAAAATGAAGAGAGGGGAAAAAATTAATCCATACAGGATTATTACCAAAAAATCAGGAAAATAAAAAAGATTGGTCACATCTGAACTGATGAAAAATCCCCCCCCGCCAAAAAAAAAACAAACATGAAGCAAAAGAAAATTGCATGACACAACTTAAAACTGAATTAAATATATTCAAAGAAGAATTTGAGGGAAAAGCATCTTAAATTGGAAATTTGAAAGTTAAAAACAAATGAAAAAAAGAAATATAAAGAGTTGACTGAACTCAAGGAAGAAATGGAAGAAAAGGACAAAATTACCTCAGATATAGCAAATAAGTTACAAGATACCTAGGAGAACACAGATCCAAAATGACATTTATTAAGAAACATTGAAGAAAGGTAGAGAAACAATCAAGGGGATGAAAATGAGGGAAAGGAAGTAGTTCAAAATTTCAAACAATGTGGGTGAAATGGAAGACAGGTAAAGAAGGAATCACATTTGCATAACTACATCTCTAGAGAAGTAAAACGAAACAATGGAACAGAAATAATATTTAAGACTAAAATTCAAAACAATTTTCCATAAATTTTTAAAAAGCTCAAACCTACATATTGAAAGGAGACCAATGAGAATTGGGAAATATTAACCCAGAATATATATCAACTCTGACACATATCTTAGTAAAACTATTAGAACTCAAAAAAACAAAACCAAAAACAAATAACACACACACACACACACACACACACACACACACACACACACACAAAACAAAGACAAAAACAAAAACTTCAAGGTCCCCAGGAAAAATATCAAATAACTTAGAAAAGAAAAAAAAGTATACTGGCATTACCCTTTAAAAAAATAAAAGAAAAAGTGAGATATCAATGGTGCAGCAAGTTAAAAAAGAAAAAAGTTCAATAACGGTAAGTAGGAACCCAAAATTTGAAATGCAACTAAACCATCCTTCAAATATCAAGATTGTAGAAAAACAATTTTAAATACAGAGGAATTTAGGGAATTCTGTACCCATATGCCTTTCAAGAATCTAGTAGAGCTTCAGTCAACCAATAGATGACTGGAAATGCTTCAGCAAAATGAGGGAAGGTGGTATTTTAATATATACAAGACTAAAATAAAAGTGGGAGAAGAATGAATGACTGATGTATAAATAGAATATGTAATGAGAAAGTAGAAATGAAGCAACCAAAAAATGGAGAACAGGAACAGAAAGAAAGAAGATAATAGAATAAGCACACTGATTGCTGAATGGGACAGATGTTCGCAAAGTTTCTCAGTTTGTGGCTCCTTCAGTGCCTCAAGAACTTTTCAGGCAGCTCTAGACCAAAAGAAACACATTATAGTTTGTTTACTAAGAGGTTAGGTCCAAACAACTTAGTATTTATGTCTGAACAAAATAATAGTACATTTGAAAAAAAAATCACAGAGACTAAAAGAAAAAAAAAACTTGTTTCATTCCTAAGTAACAACTATGACTTAGTAATTGCACTGTGGGCCCATTGGGAGAACACCACTTCTCAAACCTTGGATCGATCAGGTTGGACCCTACCACCCTCAATTCCAGTTGCACACTGATTTTCAGGCATTGCTTTTTCTCTGAGCGTACTTTTGCAAAGATATGGCATCATTGAAGTCATTATAGCCATCATCTAAGGATGAACTATCTCATGCCAGCAGTTTGTGCAGAATCCAAGAAATGTCACTAAGTTTCCTTAAAAATTGAAAATATAGGGCAGAGTCCCTGTGAGTTTACTGTGGTGCCCCAGAGCATATTTTGGGAACAATGGATATAGGAAGTAGGGAAAACTAAAGGGTGTAGTTAAAGAATAAAAGAAAAAGATAATAAGTTAAATGTGAAAATGGGAATAAGTTGATTTAAAAAGTTTTAAGTTCAAAGGGCAAAATTACAAACTGCAAAAAAAAGACAGAAATATTTTTTGAAAGAAAAAATACACATCTCCTAAAGAAGAAAGAATAGCAAGATTATAGCATATCATGACAAAGTTGCGATCAAACACATCACCCATTTCAATATATAAAAATGGGCATAACTCTTACATTAATTTTTTTTTTCAATCTGGATCACAAATCAAGATGCAACATTGACACAATATGCAATTACCACATCTAATACAAAGTGATTCAGGAAACTCAAAGAGGTGAACAAAAGTATAACAGGTAAACTAAAAAGTAAGAAAGCAGGAACAATGATCCTGATATCAAAGTAAAATTTCAGTGAAAAGCATTAAATGTAACAAAGAAAGGAACTTTTTAATGCTAAAAGCCACAATTCACAGCAAAGATAGAACATTTATATCTTTGCACAAATTAACATAGCAACTACCTTTATGAAGCAAAACTATAGGAGACACAAAGAGACATAGAACCAAATGGCATATTTAAAAATGCTCATAGCAACATTCTGTTTAATAGACCCAAAGAGAAAATAACTTAAGAAGTCTACCAACAGAGGAACAGAAAAACAAATTCTAGTATGTTCATATAATAAAATACTAAGCTGCAATAGAAATACATGTACTACAGTTACATGCAACATGGAGGAATCTCACAAACATATTTTTGAGTAAGACAAGCCAAACACAAAGGCATACATACTACATGTATTGCTACACATTTCAAACATAGGCAAACATGACTACAGTGTTTGATGGCAGGATAGCTGTTAGTGTCAGGGAGAAGAAAGCAGATGGAAATTAGGAGGGGCCATGAGAAATTAGCTATA